ATTCTGAAGATTGCCGAGAACTCTGCTTTTCCAAATGGTTATATACTACTTAAGTTTGCGGATCGGTTGCCTGATTTTGAACCCATTCAATATCTCCCATAATTTTCGTCGCTATTACATTCGCTGTCAGTACTGCACACGAAAGATAATTCCCATGGAGTTAAGCCTTTTTGCGTGACAAGCCGTACGAGTTCTAGTGCTGCTTGTAAGGCCTTTGGATTCATTCTTAGTCGTATTCCTGCAAGAACTCTTGCTATTGATATATTTGCCTATAGGGTCTGTAAAATTCCATAATCACATTAGAGCTTTATGATCGGCTCTGGTAGCAAGCTTGCGCCTTAATAAGTAATGTTGAAAGTGGCACAGAAGGTAAATGAATGCTACCATGTCATTGTGTGTTGTACGATAATCTTCTTTTTGAATTATGTTACATTCGGTTTCTATAATCAATAACCATTTTCTATTCGAATGATACAGAGCCAGTAGCTTGGTCACTTGGATTGGTGCTTAAGATGAAACGGCTAACAGTGAGAGAACAGTTCAGATACGCAAAGATCGACGTTGAACACACCTTTTTAGCCTGTCGAAAAACTGTTCGGACTTTCCAGTCCATTAAAAATTAACGACCCGTCCTAGAATTAATGAAGAGGAGCTACAATCACCGAAAATCTTGGGATGAACCTTCTGTAATGAGTTGTTTAACCTAGAAAGCTGAGTTCAGTTGCATTTTGTGTAAGAAAGGGTTTAGTTTATCTACCTCAGTAGCGGGCTTGAAACAGTTCTTTGAACAGTCTTCATGATGGAGGTAGCATTCAAGGGTCAAAGTAACCCACCTCCGTATTGTCCTTACTTAAAGGTCTAACGTTCTGAACCGTTGACAGCTTTCGAGTTTGAACACTCAAGGTCTGGCCAAAAAAGCACTGTACCTTTCCCCTTTGACGGGATCATTAGAAGTTTTTCAGGACAACTGAAATCATTAGTTTGAAATTATGCTATTGAAATTAAAGTGTGGAAAGTCATGAAGCACAAAGAGAACGCGAAATAACGAAAGGAATCCAAGTTTATGGAGAAAGAGGCAAAAGAAAATGACCAGAGGTTCGGTATGTCATGACGGCACATCATATAAGTTCGCAGTCGTAAACGAGGCAGAAAAACTACCTCGTTTGCGACCATTATCACCTAGACCCTGAGTCTTATGAGGAATAATTAGAAGTGAGTTTCAAGACATATTAGGTCGGACTGTAATCATATCTCTTACTGCTTAAAAGCAGTCAACTACTGAAACAAGCAGACGAAATAGATGACAACAGAAACTTGTCTCGAGTCCTCCGAGAGAACTTTGGTGGAGTTTCAATAACTCAGAATAGAATTTTATATTATTATATTGATCTTTGCATTAATCCGTACCTGTCAACAACATACCTAGCAAAATTCACAGCATCAACTGCCATCAGTTGGCAAGACCACGCATAAAAGCTACTCAACTCTATGATCCGAACACAAAGAAACTGAATTGCTTGTGTTAGTTTGCTGCAAACATATTGATAATAGTCTACTGTCAGAATTTGAATGTTTGCTTCCCTGACCTTGGAGTCCCACCAACGGTTTGGTGTTAGGGGTCGAATTATCTCAATTCTAATTTCGGTCACCAAGTTGTTTTTTTATCCGAGGCCTTTTCATTGCTGATTATTGTTTATCATTTCCTTATCAAATTTAAATGCATTATGTGCGCTTTTTGCGTCAACTCACCCTCCATTCTACCCAAACAACCAATAAAGGGGAAAATGCATTGGAAAATAAGCCGTAAATAATAAAGGAATGCACCCAAATGTCTGCTTTTTCGCTTTTCCGGGGGAAATAAAGCGGAATTTCCTCTTTCTGTTGCTCTGCTTTTCAAATGTCGCTAAATTGCCGGTTTTTATCCTCAATATCTGACGAATTGCCGATCTTCACCCTAAATATTCACCACGTTGTCTACTTCTCTACTACATACACACCGATGTAATTAGGCTCCCACCTTTAAAACGCTTTTGTATTTACCCCAACCGCCTCCTGTGTTCGCCTTCATACCCACAACACAGCACACGAATAATGTAATGTACGTAAAATATGGTATAAGTTCCAAATTTTTATTGAGAACAAAATGCTTATTAATGTACAAAGTTATGAGCAGTTTGCAGATAGTAGAGCATCAATGTTCCTTATGTGTCTCAATCTACCTTCATAAGATAGTCCAGAGAGACTTCACCATTTCGATCTCCTGTCGTTGGACTGGTTCCAGCTTATCCGCCTCATACTCAAAACAAGGCCTCGCTGCTTGAATCCCATATTCCACATGTGGTTTCACAAAAGTCGGGCATAATACTCTAAACATTTCTTCGTCCAATCACTGGAAGGACCTGAGAATAGCCCATAATACCCTAAAGCCCTTGGTAGCAACAGCCTTCGATTTGCACGATTTGCTCGATTGGGCTGAGACAGATAACATCTATTATAAATGTACAATATCCGATAGTGAGTTCACAGCTAATGGCTTCATAAGTTTCACTATCATGGGATTCACAAGCAAGAGCGCGGATACTTATTTTATTGGCTATGTATAAAAGGATTCCATCCCCTTACATCTGTGTCTATTACTTCTTAGGTAGTGGTATCTGGATAATTCTGGAGTAATGTCTACATCGTGGACTAACCACGTTTCCGTCAAAGTTACAATGAGTGGCCTTTATTTGTCTGGTAATGCTCCTAGTTCACAGAATTTATTTCTAAGATTAGGAGCACATGTATATAAAACTCCTAGGGAGAATGACCTATCCACATAGGCCTTGGTAGCATCCGCTCCTAAGACCTGACTATTTGAAAACCCACAAAATATTTAGAACGCTTCACAACTTTGCGTGCCACCCTTGCTCAGGAGTCATGATAATCTCTGAATCGTTCCAATTTTAGTATATGTACCTCCAAAGCAAGTGGACTTATTGATTTTGTTATTCGGATACATTCTATTGTGAATTTCGGTCCCCAGCCGTGCTATTTCTTTGTTCTCATAATATTTAAAGTTTGTTTTGAAAAAAGCCGATCTGAAATCATAGTGTTTGCTCAATATAGCAACTCAATCTCCAGTTTAATTGTCAGATTATTTCTCTTGATGTGAAACTAAATGGTAAAAAATAATCGATAATACAATAAAATTTGGAATTAAATCAGTAAAAATTATGTGTTTGAAAATCCCCTGTGGTGCCAAGTACAAGGCAGGAGTATTTACAATAGGTCTAAAATGAGGAGGATATTTTTAGGTTCAATAAGATAACTCAATTTCTCCTGTTTAGTCTTATTAACGCTTTACAAACATTCCTAGTCTTATAATAACTAGATCTGTACGGTTCTAAGCCAGTAGAGATGGCCATATGTATACAGCCACTATGAAAGAAGTCCTACTCACTGCCTTCTCGTGGCGGGGTGTTGTTTACAAAATTGAAAGAACGAAACGCGAATGTCCGGCGTTTTAACCGGGTTAGTGGACATAGAGGATCCACCTAGGAGAGTTGAGAAACCCTGATTCCAAACCAGTGGTGCACATGAGCTCCAGGATCCTAAAGACACAAGTGGCGTATGCACCTGATGTTAGTCACGGACCACCATAGAACCGCATCTTCTAATGTTGCTCCACTGTCTTGTGGACTAGACCTTTTGGTCGTAGGTCTCGGTTGTGACCCCCTAAGAAAACCACCTGTTTCGTTTTGGGCACCCGAACAGTGTCACAACACACACAAACCAAGTGACCTTTGTGGCGCATATGTATTCGGTGCCCCTTTGTACTAGTATTTATGTGTTCAAATAAATAATAAACTAGCTCTCCATACATTTGGACAAGGCTTAACCTGATCGTATATCGTGTCACTAACTCTATCTTCAACATGTAGATAAATTAATCTCAACCATTATGTCAAATATGTTGTTTCTTGTCGTTTCAAATCAAGCGTCACTATTATGGTAAGAAAACAATTTTATGATAATATTATTGTAAATTTAGGTCGTTTATAGCTGGTGAGAAGCCTTGAAATAAAATGAATTTTTCTTGTTCTGCAGATATTTTCTTCTAGCTTTATTTAAATACACATTTATTACCACAGTTGTCTTTATATCCTTTTTCACTAACGTCATCTATCTTTCATCAAATTGTTCAGTTTACTTCATAACCAAGTGGTACACTCAAAATGTATTTTATGTAGTTATGTGTGCTTACTCACTACCTACCTAGATGTGTAATACTGGCTGTCATAGAAGTAGGTTGGGATAAACGGAAACGGGTATTCAGGTGCTGGACCGATCCGTTGAAGTCATTGATTATTGATCTGAACCATATCTTACGGCACAGGCTTCGTAATTAAGACTCTCAGAATAGTAATAATCTATAATTGATGGCTCTGAATGTAATCTGGCTCAAAATTCCTCACAGTTATATTCATCTGTCTTTAAATCTTGACGTGTGTCCTGGCATTGCATTTCTTTTGAACTTCACTTTGTATCTCTTTTGATTTTGTAAGCTTCTTTCGTTAATATTTCTATATGGGATGTAGCACCAGGGTCCTATGTTGACTTTATCTGGTTGAGTCCTGGTAGTTTATTTTAACCGTTTCCAATTTCTGAAATCTTTTAGATACTAACTCGTCAAGTAAAATTAACTAGTTAACCGTCGTTATGGTGTCGGATAACAATTTATCATGACGTCCTAAAAGTATACCAACTTGGACCAACTCATACATGTATCTGGTCCTACATTGTAGATGACTGAACATCTTAAAAGTCTTTAACTTGTAATAACGCTCATGGTGATGCTTATGTCGATTGACAAACACTAGAAACTTCAATTTGTTATTACTTTTATAAAAGTTGATCATTCAAGTCTTTAATTTTTGCTTTAGGTTTTTCTCAGTTCACTGCAGCGATACAGAGTTTATGCAACGCTAGTTTCGGATACACCTTAATATTTCCTGTAGATGATTCGTGCCATACTTATTATTAATAATCATGGAAAACCAAGATTAATAAAGTTTTATGAGCACTATGTATGTTTAAATTATTGTTTACTGTATCCTAATCACAGAGTGAAGATGAACAACAGAAAATTGTCAAAGAAGTTTTTCATCTGGTCTCGAGAAGAGATGATGATGTTTGTAATTTTTTAGAAGGCGGCACGTAAGATACCATAATGTTTTTGTATACTAATCTTTTACAGACTAGTTGGTGGACAAGATTATAGATTAATTTATCGTCATTATGCAACATTGTATTTTGTGTTTTGTGTTGATTCATCTGAAAGTGAACTTGGCATATTGGATTTAATTCAAGTATTTGTTGAAGCATTAGATAAATGTTTTGAGAACGTTTGTGAACTTGATTTAATTTTTCATGTAGATAAGGTAATTTATTACTTTTTTTAAAAAGTAGTTTTTAAACTTTGTTTTATAGGTACACTACATACTGAATGAACTTGTATTAGGTGGAATGGTGTTAGAAACTCATATTAACGAAATCACCCATAGATATGAAGAACAACAAAAACTAGAGAAACAAGAGGCAAGTTCAATTTATTATTGTAACTATTGATATAGTAAAGAAGGGATTACAATTCCAAACTGATTAAGGAATTTTAATAGTTGAAATCATGAGTCAATTAAAGCTGGACCACTATGGAAAACCTGGAAGCACTGAACGGCCGTTTCGTCCTATTATGGGACTCCTAATTAAGGAATGTTTTATAAATTAAAAAAATGACGAACGAAGAAAGTCATAAATAGACTAAGTACTAATAATATTTCTAGGCAAGGAATATTTTTTTGTCTTAAGATATATGCGTATAGATGAATTCATTCCAGTCATTTTATTGTTTAACCTGCAAGAGGTCAAACTCAGAGAAATAGGCTAACAATTTACTATCAGAACGAATGAGTGGGACAATGAACTCTAAGAATTTATCAGCATTTCTGTAGGTTTTCATTAATTTTACAGTTAGCATCAATCCGATAACAGTGCCTAAGTACATTGTAAATAATAGTCGTGTAGTTTTAGACAAACAGAAAAAGATGGTTACGAAGTAAAGCAATTGAAAATGAAGGGTTCTGACTTGTAGGTTCCGAGCATCATCTAGACTAAAATCATTAATTAACTGAACCTGGGTGAGAATTGAAATAGTGGAGTTGAATTTAGTCGTTTTATACCAATGCTGAACTTTGAATGGCCAAGTTTATGTTCAACATAACTCGTTTCACTATAATCTCAGAGAAATGAACCTAATCTTTATGATATCTAAAACACTGAGTTAACCTCCCGGATAGCATTGTTTAATGATAAAATATATGACAGTATAATGTTCAAGGCCGAGGAGTCTTCAACTAAGAAATCTATAGCGCCACGTATTTCAGAACTGTTTCCAAATGTCATCGAAAATAAAACAGATCGAATTAAGAGAGCGGGCAACTGAAAAAAGTGGTTTCATGGCCCTGCTTTGGTTGAAGTATATTTTCATAGATCTTTCTAAACGTTGATTGAAAGATTGTATTTGCATCTATGTATCGAAGTATATTTTAGCAGTTTAACTGTCAAAGTGTTTCCCTTTAAACTTATCACCCTACTAAATACAAGAAGTTTAGGTGGATTCAGTTGTATAAAGATTCCATACTTGCGACATCTAGGAGCCGTTGTTGTCCACTGCTCATTTTCTCTAAAGTTTTAAACATTGCACTACTGGCGTGTATCTTTTCTCGAACTGGTGTTGTTTTTATTTTTATTCATTTCTATACTTCTGTTGGTTTTGCTCTGCTCACGGTGATTTGAGCCCGTTGGCTTGTGTGAAAGTCTTCATGTTGTGGTGTTTTGTGACCCATCTGACTCCGTAATTTGTTGATCCTCATTATTAATTTCCTATATAATGATTTGGCCAACGCTGTTTGACTAAAAGTGATATTAAAGCCAAATACAAATGTAATGAGGATGTTGTATTTCAAGAAATCATATTAGGAAACAGTCAGAGAATAATCACATGAATGCTTTTTGGGATTGACAATACTAACCAGCCCACGTACGTAGTTCACCTGAACAAACGGAAATAGAATAGTATACTAGTAGAAAATGTACATGAGTAAAAGGTGATGATGTTATGTGTACGAATACATACAATAGAAGTAATAAGATTATTAGGATGGATGCATCGGTCACATAAGCATTCCGTTTTGTTTCAATGGACACATGTGTCTATATCAATCTGTTATGTCACTTTGTGATATGGTTATGGATTTAACTAAGTGCTTATTATGTGTACATCAGATCGCTACAGATGTTTCTCTTTAGACAATTCAATACATATATGAATAAATAATCATGCTGATAATCAGTTAAATAGTGAGTATGAATCTCTGGTTCATAATCCGATTACAGCTAGTTCTGTTTTATATGCAGATGAAAGGTAAAATTTGAAAAAAACTGAAATTGTAAACGCTATGTACACTAGTTAAAAAAAAACGAATTTAAGTACTCATTTCTTTTGATGTGCCGATTATATTCATAAAACATGAATACATACTTCATCAACCTGTTTTTACTTTTTTTTGTCGAAAACATTTTAGTCTGGACTATCCGGAGCTCCAGCTCGAGCTGTTTCAGCAATGCGTGATTTAAATCTTCATCAGAAATTCAAGGAAATACGTTTTCCAGATTTACAATCATTGCAAAACAGACTATCACGTTGACATTGTTTTTTGTATATTTTCTTGTTTTTCTTTGTTTCATTTCATCTGTTTGTTATATATTACTTAATTAACAATTTCATATGTGACTTTACAAAATTATCTATTTGTCTCTTGTTCAATATTCGTTTTTTATTTCCGAAATTATATTTGCTGATCTCCGTGTATCTGTTCATTCAAATTTTCTATCGAGATCATAGGAGTAATGTTGCTTTACCGGAATTAATGAATTTTATTTTCGTAGTATGTCTATTGTAGATAGGTGTGGCTGAGAAGTTTATTAACATCTTAAAGGCCCTGTATACGAACACCTCAGGCAGAGTGAAGGCATACAACCACCTTTCTCCCTCGTTCCATTCAAGCATTGGTATTAGGCAGGGTTGCCCGATCTCACCATTCCTCTTCAATTTTGCCATAGATGACATTCTGGAAACAGCTCTGATGGATGTAAGTAATGGCAGTGTGGATCTGCTGCCTGGAAAACGACTTCTCGACCTTGAGTATGCGGATGATATTGTCTTACTGTGCGATAATGCCCAAGGCATGCAATCCGCACTTAATCAGTTGGCAATCAGTGTCCGCAAGTACGGTATATGCTTTGCACCTTCAGAGTGCAAATTACTTCTACAAGACTGGCAGGATTCTATTCCTGTACTCACCTTGGATGGTGAGCAGATTGAAGTAGTTGAGAAGTTCGTGTGTCTAGGTAGCTACATAAGTGCTGGTGGTGGCGTGAGTGATGAGATTGATGCACGTATAATGAAAGCCAGAGCGGCTTATGCCAATCTGGGCCATCTTTGGCGCCTTCGTGATGTTAGTCTGGCTGTAAAAGGTCGGATCTACAACGCGTCGGCGAGAGCAGTTTTGCTCTATGCTTGTGAAACCTGGCCTCTCCGAGTTGAGGATGTTAGACGTCTCTCTGTGTTCGATCATCGTTGTCTCCGAAGGATTGCTGACATACAGTGGCAACACCATGTTAGTAATGCAGAGGTTCGGCATCGTGTGTTGGGGCGCAGAGACGATAATTCAATTGGTGTCACCATCTTGAAACACCGACTTCGGTGGCTTGGACATGTTTTACGAATGTCGTTCCAGAGACTTCCACGTCGTGCATTATTTGCCGACCCTGGGACTGGTTGGAAAAAGCGGAGAGGTGGTCAGTGTATTGTAAATTTCAGTTTCCCCCACCATTACCCCTATTATTATTTTTTTCACATATGCATCTTACCCCCTTTTTCTTCCCAATTTCATTGTTTTGTGTGGCGCATATATATCTGGTGCCCCCTTGCACCAATATTTATGTGTTTAAATAAATAAATATTAGGTGATTAGAAGCTGTTAAAGGGAAACTCTGCATGTAGGTTCAATTTAAAAAGTTAGATTGTCAGACATTAGATATAGTTCCGACATCTGATCAAGGTCTTGGGCATTTCAGATTATTTGTGGTTGATTGTTGCTATCAATTTCAGAATAGCATATATAACTACAGAAACATTTTAATTAAAAAGCACAAAGCTATGCTTGAACTTATTAATGACGAAAATTCGATGATTATGAAACCTGATAATGAAATGGGAGCTGTCCTACTCAACAAAAATGACCACACTGACTAGATAAATGACATTTTGACTGGTCATTTAAAATTCTGAAATCTGGATGACGAGAAAAATGCAGTAATAAGATAGAGAAAGATCTGAATGGATCTTTAGAAACCCTCAGGGATCAACAGGTAATTCCATCAAATGAAACAATTAAGTTGATAAGTATTGATTTACTATGGTTATAAGGACCACCGAAGGTACACAAACTGAACGTGTACAATTCCCGTTAGCATACTGTGGTAAAGTGGCTAGTAACCATTTTAAAGTCACTAAACAAACATACAGTGGAACGTAATATGAAGGATGTGTTCCAGTTCCTCGACAAGATCAAAAAAGTAAACACTAAAGGACAAATGATGATGTCCTTAGACTTAACATCATTGTTTACAGATGTCCCACTCAGGGAGATTTTCGAATATGTGTTTGAATGACTTAGAAAACAAGAAATAGACTACAATCCCTGTGGACATCATTTTTGGATAATTACTGAAATGTACCATGAACGTCAAATTCAATGGTGAAATATATAGACAAATAGATTGTGTCACGTCTTTATCACTAGGTTCCATATGGCTGAAACTTTATTTCACTAAACAGAAGACGGTCCACTGACACAGCATATTGACAAGTTTTCATTTTACTGCCGATATATGTACGATAGGTTCACCCTTTGTAACTACCATACTGATGGAATAGAGACCCTCAAGCGATTTAATAAAGTTCATCCGTCTATTAAATTCACATATGAGGAAGGAAATTGAGGTAGATTAGCTTTTCTAGATGTTTTACTTTCAAGGAGGATAGTTGGATCACCAAGAAGAAACTTAGACAATAAAACTACTTGGATTGAGCAATATACAAATGTTCTTGTTTTGTCCCTCAACAGTATAAAGGAACCTGATTAAAACACTTCATTATAGAACTAAGACCATATGGTTTCTAGATGCGGTTAAAGAAAAACAAAGGTGATCTGAAAGAAAATGGATGTAGGGAAAAGTTTATGAATAAGCATTCAGCCATGATAAGGGAACGTTAAAAAGCTTAACTGTGAGCACAAAACCTCTATATACGTCTACAATCTAGAGATGATGCACCTGGAGAAATGCTAATACTAAAGTTGCATAGAGCAATTCAAGGAACATCTAGTCCATGTAAACTACAATTAATGTTTCCCCTACCTTCGCTGGTCACTCCAAGATCTAAAGTTAAATTATATAGACTAGCCCCCTCTATCTGAATCTATCAATTCAACTTTTCCTGTGGAGCAAGTTATATTGAGAGCTGTTCAAGGAATTCTTGCTCGTGAGTACTTCACAGTGTGGTTAGGCAAAGGTATAATTAAAAATGTTAACGGCTGTGTACTTATCAGTCCTGCTATCTGCCTAGCCCAGTCAGTTAAGTCCAGAACACCGATAACAGCCTCTGCAATATGAATCATTATTGTCAAATATACTGGGTTTATATACCAATCAAACAGACCACATCGTACCATAAAATAGAAAATAACATTTGTACAAGATTTGGCCAAATGTGGCTGTGAATAGGGGGAACAGTAATCAATAGGCTGGGGATAACTTAAGAATGGTAAACCGTAATATAATAGTCTATGAGGTCAAAATAAAGCTGATAATAAAAGGGTCACAAATATGAATAGTTTAGTTACTTAACAATTATACAATAGGAAATATACATAATACATTGGTCCATAAATAGTTCAAAAAGTTACCATTCACCATTCTCTTCGAGATTCAACAGATACGAATTTTTCAGTTATTAAAAACATTTCTACCGGTTTAGACTACTCACAAGTAGTCAAGACTGAATTTGTATTTTAGTTGGACTACTTTACACTTAGTAGTTATGCGGGAAATCGTTCATGTTAAGTTGGAAAATTCATGATGATTTGTGTAAAATGGTTGATACTAAAATCATTATCAAAACTTATCACAAAGTGAGGGAAAGGTAATGAATCAATCATTCTACAATCTGTTGTCTTCTCATTTCACTCCCGTTAAAATAATGCTGATTTACGACGTTCTAGTGAGCATTTTATGAAATGGACAACTCAGTTACCAAATTTACCGCTTAATGACAAAATGAGTGTAATTAAACAGTATATAGAGGGTTTTAGACCACTCACAAGTTTGTACATGTTCCAATTAACTAATGCTATAAAACTACCTACTTGTCAGACAAACGTGATGTATAGTTGAAATCATGTGTCAATTGAAGCTAGACCAGCTGAAATATCTTCGTAAACAATTAGCTGTTCATATTTGAAAAGAAGCATCTTTCTATCTTCCACCTTCTTCACAGACAGTGTGGATCGGTTCTCATGAATGAATATGAGGTTAAGAAAAAAGATCATTTGTTGTAACATAAGTACAAATTTACTATTCGTATGATTAAAGAGAAGTAACTTATAATTTCAGTTTGGACGGACTTTCTTTTATAATTATATGTTTGGGTAATCTAGAAAAAAAAAGCTGACAATAACAGTCTATATAACAGCATTATATCAACATTATGATATTGAGGAAACCTGAATTATAAATTTTCATTCTAAGCAATTGGTAATTGAAGTAGGTACCTTTCTACCTTAATTTTTGGTTCATACTACGTATTGAATAATATATTCAGTTGTTGAACTAACTAAAATGAATCATTCAGTCACATTTTCATGGTAACATTAGGATATAGCAAAATTGAATTGTGGCAAGTAGAAGAGTCGAGGAAGCTCCTTTTGTCTTACTTTATTAACGTCAGCCAGATTAAGGTACATTTCACTTTTAATATTCTCATATGCAATCAAAACCAGTACCTTGAATGTTAATGGATTACTCGCTTAGCTAGAGTTAAGAAAATAGTTTATTCAGCTGGTATGAAGTTATACAGAAAGGCTTCAGATTTCCTTCTGTTGATATTATGGGATGCATTTCATCGGGAAGTACATATTTCAATTGAAACTGTTCAAATAAAATGCTTATTATTGTCAACGGTAAAGCTGAAACCATAACACAAAATATTAGGTTAATATTAAATGTATATGAGTAGTTGGATTATTCATGAATTGTTATTTTTCACATTCAAAGGGCACATGTTGTTTTTTTATATTCGTGTGTCTCTGAGATATAAGATATTGAGGGTAACAATTATATTCGTTGTTAATAAATACATTGTCAGTGCATACCATTCACCATTATCAAACCTACCTACTTGGTAATCACAAGTGGAGAATCATTTCACTAAAGAATTCACCGAATATTTATGATTGAGCGCCAAGCAACGCGGATCACAAATCTAAGACCTTGTTGATGGTTGCACTTAGTCATTTAATGGTAAAAAAAAGGTAAAGACGTATAAACACCACACAATATGTTATGGTTTTACAATGAATTAAAA